ATAGAGAGGATACATCAGAGGACGCATCCCATGAATTTAAACTTGGCCATGGTCTCTAGGTGAGCAGATATATCCCAGCATGCTTTGCAACAGCTCTGCTTGCAAAGCGTCATGGGATTAATTTGGAGGGCGAGAAAGAACAAAGATGGTGGCGGCGTTGTACGGGGAGGCGGAGTCACGTCACCAACAGGGAGTGAAAAGCAGTGATCATCAGTCTGAATGATCAGTTCACTATAAAGTGGTCTATACAGTGATGGAGGGGTCAGAGGTCAGGCAGCAGCAGATGTCCAAATAAAGACTGGCTGATAAAACAACCATGAAGAAATGAAGGCCTGGAGGATCGTTTCCATCTGATGCCTGAAAGAAAGGATTTGATTTCTGCTGTTTTTCTGATCTGGGAAAAGCTTCACTTCACTGCGGCCTTTAATCGACTCTCAGCTTTAAATTCACTGTCCACCTTAAACCCAGCTTTGGGACTGTGGGCTCATTATTGCTAGGGGGCCAAGATTGATGGAGGAGACTGAGATGCTCCACTAGCTCCAAAAACAAACACCTCTGCCTGTTCTCCATTAAAATGGAGGAAATGTAGCTCCATCCAAGCTTTAATGCCCCCATGAGGAAATAAAAGAAGCTGAAATGTGACTTAAAGTCTGATAGGATCCAGATCAGAGCGTTCCCACTGCTCTAAACAGCCTGATCTGATTCACTGGATCCCAAATGACCAGATTAGAGCCACATTGACCTGCAGAGGGAATGGAGCCAAACTCACTTTCTCTGAATAAACTTTAAAAGCATTTAGAGGTTTTAGAGCCAAACATGAAGGTTTCAGGTTAGAAGAACTGATGAAGGAATAAACAGCATAGAAAAGGATTAAAACATTTAGAGGAAGCTGCAGGTGCAACTGTTCAAGGATTATTTCAGGCAGTTTCTGACATACGAGTCGTTCTCTGCTGTAAACAAAAACCCTCTGATATACCCCTTTCACAAGGATAAAATAAAGCAGCTTTAAACGTGGAGCTGCTCTGGTGAGAGGGATCCAGACAGATAATAGAGAGAAACAATAACGCACACTGACTACGCCCTGGCTTCCTTACATGCTGCACTCCATTGTTTACTTTCCTGATTTCTGTCACACTGGTGACATCATCAACACTAACCCAGTGTGATGATGTCAGCAGACATGCAGCCACAGGGAGGCCATGCAGCTGCCAGTGAGGGGTTAGACTGGCTTTTTCTGCCAGTGGGAAGGGAACCATATGCTGATTGTTAGCAGGTTGAAAAAACCTGGTTTGATGCGATATTTCAGCAGAAAGAGGCTGTAGGGTTATTTTTAAGATAAACTGATAGAGCTGGACTTTATGCTCCGTTACTGAGATTGAAATCACCTCCTGGTGGAAACCAAGGATGCAGAGGATTAATCCTCTGGATGGTTTTCAGCATTTAAAGGCTGATCTTCTGTTTCTGAAGGACGACGGTTCTTTTTAAACAAATATTTACGTTTTTTATAGAGCAGAAAACCTACAGATACAGTTATAATGATAATGAGATAAACTGGGATTCCAACTATCAGTCCCATATCGTCTCCTCCATCCTTGCCTCTTCCATCCTCGCCTCCTCCATCCTCGCCTCCTCCATCCTCGCCTTCTCCATCCTTCTGTTCATCCTGGTTCCCTGCAGAACAGAAACCAGGAATTAGTCTGATCCATCAGGTAGGAAATGACAGCAGAACCTGTGCTGCTGTCAGAGAGCTGATTCTACAGAGTCTGATCAACATCTTTAGGAAACACCAACATCTGATCTGTTTCTCTCGTCCATCCAGAACCAATAAGCTGTTTCTAGATCATTTGAGTCCGAGTTTGTTAAACTTGCTTTATTGAAACTAACCCCTGGTCTACAGATCTATGTTTCAGAATAACAATGTCTAAATGATTAAGATCTAACAGATTGTGTCCTAATGCAAACAGTAGTGATCAGATTTGTTAAATGTTTTAACTTCAGGGATCACTGCTCCACTTTCTACAGTTTGATTTGGGATATTTCTGATAGAAACACTTTTATTTTTCTTAATATATTAGGAAAAAATGTCAGTTTCTTGTGAATATATAATATATACATTTTTCATTCAAATATAGATATTTATTGATTGTTATAAAGGTAATAAGGTCGTGTCCTGTCCTGCAATAACAATCTTGAATTAAAATGTTGTTTTTCAAAGTATTTCAGTGAGAGTCCTAAAAAGGATTCAACAGTTGGACTAATAGGGGAGTGTTGGCCTAGTGCCGGGGTCGGCAACCTGCAGCTCTTTAGGCTCCCTGGAGCTTTTTGCAAACTTTAGGAAAAATTTTATTTTTTGGTTTGTTTATTTTAATATGATGTGCAGGAGGTCAAACAGACATTCATTATGTTTTCCAGTGCTGTAAACATTTGTATAATAAATACATTTAAACAATATATATGTAAACATTTATTTCAGCAGCACCTGTGGAGCCTGGATTGAAGCCAGGAGGCTCTGATCAGGCTGAGCTCAAAGCTCTGATCCTGGATTTAGTCAAACAGCTAGAGGTTCAGAGTGACTCACCTGCCGGAGGAGGAGGAGCCTCTACGTCCAGGTAGATGCTGGTGATGAGCTCCATACTGCCGCCTGTTCCACTCTGAACCACTCTACATTCATACGTTCCTTTGTCCTCAGTCCCCACGTCCTTCAGAACCACAGAGACGTCTCCATCCTCCATGTTTCTGTCCTTCAGGTCCACTCGGTTCATAAAGGATGGATGCTGATTAGATGGATCAATCTGCTCATCTCGGTACAGAAGAACATAATCTGATCCCAGATCAGTTCTGCTCCACTCTGCAACCAGAACTGGGTTCCTGCTGTAAAGTCCACATGGCAGAAGAACCGTCTGTCCAGGTTCAGCTCTGATCAGCTGATCTATGGGAGACAGAAGGAGTCACAGACATTCATCTGGAACATGTGGAGCTTTACGGTAATTGTACAGACACCTGTTTAAAACTAAATAGATCCATTTGATCAGTTTTGAACCGAACATGTCTGTGTTTAATTTCAGATTTACTTAAAAAGGTTTGATTTTATTTCTTGCAGGTTAAATGTCCCTTCAGTGTGTCTGAACGGTCATTTGTAAATCAGAGCACCTGCTCAATGCTCAGCATTAAGGAACATTAACCCAATAAACTATAGTTTATT